GGAATTCTCTCAGTCAACCACAATGGATGCCTGCAGATTTTATCAGGTGAGAGAGAGTTCATTGCCTTGTATCAAACTAGAACTCCAATTCAGGCGCATGCCACCCTACGGAACGATGGCAACTTTGTACTGCAGCAGCTGAATTCAGATGGATCTGTGAAGGGGGATTTATGGCAAAGTTTTGATCATCCAACGGACACTCTCCTACCAGGGATGAAACTAGGATTTAACTTGAAAACTGGGTTGAGTTGGACTTTGACATCAAAGAGAAGTGACGACTCACCTGCCTCTGGCTCTTTTACACTGGGAATGGATCCCAACGACACAAAACAACTGGTCATATTGCGGCGAGATGATGTATACTGGAGAAGTGGACAATGGCAACATAGCAGCTCTAACTTTCCACACTTAACGTTCGAGCAGGATTTTGGCTACCGCTTTAGTTTCACTCAAAATGAGAATGAAACGTACTTCAATTTCACTACAAACCCATCACCGTTCACTTTCCCAAAGATAAAAGTAGGGTCAGAGGACGCGATTGCTTTGGAGTTTATTGGAGACCCGAGTACTCCAGGACTCCCGATAGTGATAGTTTCTTGTAATTATTATGCTTATAGTTCCTCCTTTACGATGGAATCCAATTCTTCAGGATGCATAAAGCTAAAGCTTCCCAAGTGCAGGGATACTACGCTTGATTACGGTGATTCCATCATCTCGGAGTACGGTTCAATGTCCAGCCCTGGATACAGATTCAGCGATAGTGAAAACCTGACTATTGAAGATTGTAAGGTCAAATGCTTGCAAAACTGTTCGTGTTTTGCCTTTGCTGCCGCAAATGTGGATGGAAGTGGCTGTGAAATTTGGGTATCGAGGGCATTTTTCAAAATAACAAAGTCTGAACGTGTGATATTCATCCTTCCTTCCAAAGGTATGTTTGCTTCATTGTCAGAGTATAAAGATTCCTTCTTGATCAATTGCAATAAGATGCTTGCGCTAACCATTGTAGGGAATAAATGGTGGCTATGGCTAACCATTGTAGTTGGAGGAATGATGATCGTACCCACTGTGTTCTCTATCTGCTACATCATATGGAAAAAATGCACATCAAATGGTTCGTCTTTCTACAACACGTATGTGTGTTTATTGTGTTTATCATTTTCAAACTCTAAATGATCCTTTTAATGTTATCAGGGGATGAAAACATTAGTCAAAGGACACTAATAAGAGAATTGGAAGGCAATGATGCGCCTTCTATCTCATTTGGAAAGCCGAAAGGTCATAAGAAAGATAGAAATGAGCTCCATGTCTTCAGCTTTGAAAGCATTGTCTCTTCTACAAACTATTTTTCAAGTGCAAATAAGCTTGGAGAAGGCGGTTTTGGACCAGTTTACAAGGTAATATATAACAATGAGAAATTATAGTGAATTTTGGTAAGTAATAGCTAAATAGAAAATTAACAGGGTATACTATTGGATGGACGAGAAGTGGCAATTAAAAGGCTTTCGGGAAGTTCAGGCCAAGGAATGGCCGAGTTCAAGAATGAAGCACTGCTAATTGCAAAGCTCCAGCACATGAATCTTGTGAGGCTTCTAGGATTTTGCATTCAAGGAGAAGAAAAGATATTAATATATGAGTATATGCCAAACAAAAGCTTGGACTCCTTTCTATTCGGTAAACTTTCTCTCACTTGACAATTTTTTGGCGTTTCATCTGTCACTGGCTGACGAACTTCATGCTCATTAAGCTAAAATTTGACAATCAGATTCTGCAAAGAAGAAAGTGTTGAATTGGAAGATACGCCTTAACATCATTGAAGGGATTGCTCAGGGGCTTCTTTATCTCCACAAGTACTCTAGATTGAGAGTGATTCATAGAGATTTAAAGGCCAGTAACATTTTGCTTGATGGTGAGATGAATCCAAAAATATCCGATTTTGGGATGGCTAGAATATTTGGATTAAAGGAATCTGAAGCAAACACAAATAGAGTTGTTGGAACATAGTAAGTAGTTTTGTATTTGTAAAATGTCTATGTTTGCTCTACCAAATTTTGACAAAATGTGTTTTGATAATTTTTGCAGTGGTTATATGTCTCCAGAATATGCCTTCCATGGCCTTGTTTCTATCAAAACTGATGTTTTTAGCTTTGGAGTTTTGCTCCTAGAGCTTGTAAGTGGCATGAAGAATACTGGTTGTTGTCATTCTGAGCATCCGCTTAACCTTTTAGGATATGTGAGTTTCCTTTTTCCTCTTCACGCTTCTCCTCTACGCTCTTCATTTTGAATGAATATATTATCACACCTTAAGATTTGTATGAGCAATACAATCTTGGTTTTCATCAGACATGGCAGCTTTGGAATGAAGATAAAGCTTTGGAGGTAATGGATCCCACTTTCGATGGATTGTGCTCTCGTAGTCAAATATTAAGATGCATCCATATCGGCCTTCTGTGTGTACAAGACCATGCCATTGATAGACCTACAATGTCTGATGTTGTTTCAATGCTTTCAAATGAGACAATGCCACTGCCACAACCAAAACAACCAGCATTTTTCATCAGCACTGTAGTTCAGGAAAAAGCTGGTGGTCCTGAGATCAAGTCGGAGAACTATTCCATAAATTACGTGTCAATTTCTGTAATGGAGGCTAGATGATTGTTTCTGACGTTACAGTGATGCTTATATGGTAGTTGCATAAATACCATACAGGTTGTTGTCATGTTTGTACAATCGTGCCTTTAAATTGATGAGGTATGACTATAAACTGAATAAATGATGAAATTATTCATATTCATGTCAATAAATCATTATCATTTGCAACATGATGAATCTGCCTAAAAGAAATGGATTAGATTCTGGATTTTCCGTCTTCATTCTTATGCTTTCTGTTATATTAGTATATTTACTTTGGTTAATAAAATTGCTTAAGAAATATGTGATAGAGCTAAACATGGGAAATATAACATTATTGAAGAATTAATACCGCACTAACAGAAGTTAATTTGTGTTCTAATTTCTCTGCATCACAGTACGTGTTGGTAAACAGTAACTGTGTACGTTGCCAAAATCAATGTTTTTATTGTAAAGCATTGATTAAGTGGGAAAAGTAAGTCAGTCAGTTACTAAGCAATAGGCTGAACCTTAGGAAGCAAAAATTGCAGAGCAAAAGACAGGGAAGAAGGAATCAAATTATTGGTTAATGATAAGAAAATCATAACATACACACGCAAGAAACCGTGCACAGGCAACAAAAATAACTTATGGATCCAACACAAATTTTGTTTGAGTTTCACAGGGCAATATTTTGGCTTGAGGTTTCTAGCAGATTAGGCATTAAGCATTTTTAGCAATATTTTCCTGTGTTTACAGTATTATTTGAATCATCACCTGTTACCATTTGAGTCAACCACATCAAGCTCGTGTAGGCGTTATATTGGTCATATACATAAAAATACCATTTAGGAAGCAATGGCGGGACCAGAAAATATTTTTATGGAGCAGAATGAAATTGTAACCAAAAAATAATTACATTGTGTGTCAATTTGAAAAAGCAAAATATTATTTAGTGAATAACATTTGTTAGTCCTTAATTAATGATAAACTAATAGTGGTTGATAACCTAGTGTAAAAATTAACATATATTAAGTAGAAGAGTATAGAATATGAACAAAGATAAAGGAAGTATAAAGCCACTAATGAACAAATATTTTATGAAAAAACGAGGATGAGTAATTTTTATTCAATTAATTTTTACTTTTTCTTATATCTCATATTAGCTTTAATTAATTTCTATACTTTCTCATTATCACCAAAAGTAATCTTCAATAATGCAAATATTAGAAAATAATTAAAATGATATGAAATAATTAAGGATAAACAAGATAACAATAAAACATAAGGGACTAAAGTAAATTTTCAAAAAAAGTTTAGGGGGGCCTGTGCCCCACAGGCCACCCTTGTCTCCGCCGGCGGTTGGAAGGGTAGTGAATTGAGACTATTTCTGCTACTTACCAATGTTCTAGGATGAATTATTCAATTTGAAGACATCGAGTCTTAGAAATTAAATATGTGGGGCAGATGAAAATGAGTACGCATTCAGAGTGTCAGGACATGGGGCATAGGCTCAAAATTTGGCAAGTCTTTGGGGTTTTGGAACTTCTTTATACAAGAATAAAGAAACTTCTTTCCTTCTACGTTTTTTCTTTATCAAGATTTTAATTCTAGAAGTGGCTGTTGAATGTTCAAAGGTTTAGTAGCCTTTGAACATTCAACTCTCTATTCCATTAAAAAAGACTAAATAATTAAATAATTTAAGATTTACTTTAAGTGGATTAGTCTCCCATTTCTAGTGCAAATGCTTCTGCTTTAATTTGCTGTATGATGTGGAGAATATGATATTGGTTATTAAACAAGTAGCTTTAAAAAACATAAAAAAAAGCAACTGAAACCACTCAGTTAAGACTTGAAGCATCTTGTAGATCTACTGTAATAATTATAACTTTTTTTATTATGCTAACAATTTAAATAGTTTTATAATCTCGTTTTCAAGTACGGTAAAGAGATTTTAGAATTGAGTCTTTAAGTATGATAGTGGAATGAGGTAAGTAAAAGCTAAAAGGGGATTTACCTAAAAATGAGATGCCTCATTTTTCTTAAGCCAAAGCCATTGTAACACCATAATGCCATCCAAGTAGTTACATTCGATAATGAAATAGGCATTATTTTTGCCTTTTACCAAAAGACATAGGAGTAATAGAAAATACTTTGGGGAGTTGAAAATGGCGTATGCGTTGAAGACTTTCATGTAATTAGACATAGGGTCTATTTGATACAGCGGTTAAAATTTAACGAATAGCGGATAGTAAGTAGCAGATAGCAGATAGCAAGTAGCAGATAGCAGATAGCGGTAATCGGTAACTGGTGGCGGTTAGCAGATAGTGAATGACGGATAGCAAAAAATTGGTAGCGGATGGTAAATAGCGGAGTCGATAAATATAACTGTTTGGCTATACAATAGTTAGTAATTGTTGTTGACATTAAATGATTAATAAGGACATGTTTAAAAACAAATAAGTGTATTTTTTAAAATATTTTTATTTTTTATTATTAAAATTATTAATTTTATAAAAATAAAGATAATAAAA